CAAACACTGACCCACCCAGGTGAACTGGATCCCACGGCCTTTGTCCAGTGACTGTAAAGGGACAGGGACAGGGATGTGATGCATTTGCTGAGGGACTTGGCACGTGGCTTCACAGAGCACATGCAGGTAGATGCTTACGGTTTCCATGGGGATCTTAGCTCACCTTTAACACCTGCCTTTGGGTTTCTTAGAGGTGAATGGCAGTGGGACAGCAGAGCAGGAACATCTGATCTGGATTCGAATCCCACCTTAACCCCTCTGAGGCAGTGTAGTCTGGGGCAAATCACTTCACTGCTATGCCTCTGTTTCCCCACAAGTAAAAAGGAATGATAATGATTCCTATGGGGCAGATGCGAGGAAAAGATCAGATGACCACTTAGACAGGGCCCAATGTGTTCAGCTTTCTAACCAGGTTCCTATCTAATACCCCACCCCCTTATCTCCTTCTGCCTCCAGAGGAGCTTGCTAAGTCATATCACCACACCAGGGCCATACGGACATTTCTGGCTCCAACCCTGGCCATCGTCTCCACCCTGGTGACAACACAGAGGTGTCACCACCTTCCTGAGATGGTTGGTAAGAAGCCATCCCCCTTCACCACAAACACAAACTGTTCTGGTTTCCTATCCAACCATTACACAAACGGGCAGAGCATTTCGGGAGAGATGTTTATTGAGCAAACATATCTTTTGTGCTATCTTTTTAACCGTTTGCAGGAAAAAGAAAGCTTCTAAGGAAGCTCAGAAATGCCTTGCTGAGCCCAAAGTGGGTATAATGTGACATGATTTGATTCAAAGTTTAGAAAAAATAATCTTTCCTTTCTGTGTTAATAGTTGGCCTGGGGCTTGCTGTGTGGTGTGTGCACACCCATGTTCTGGGGGTAGAATTGCAATACCCCAAAAGAAGCCTGGATCCGAGGACAGCGACCTTTTCCTCATGTGCATAAAGTAGCTGAGACACTGTCTCACTTGCCTTGAGTATGGTGAATGTAAAGATGTGGCAAGGGTTAAAACTCCCAGGAAGACGTCACTCCCAGGTTACAACTAATGGGTGAGCTTCCTCCTATGGGGGAGGAGGTCACACCATACCTTTCCCCCACATCCAGTGCAGGGCCCACGAAGAGCTCGGGACCTCCCTGGGTTTCTGCAGTTACACTTTTTGTGCAGTATTTTCCCATTCGTTTATCCACTTAGCTATTATTCAGTAAATATTTCCTGTGTGCCTGGCATTCTGAACCACAGATATGAAAATTACCATCGGGATGGGGGGAGGGTCACCTCATTTCCTAAGGCAGGGACAGAAATTCTAGGAAGTAAATATCCAGGAGAGGGTGTTCATGCGTGAAGGATCACTGAGCCTCCCGCTCCAAGGGGCCTCAGTTTCTCAGCCTCTGAAAGGGACTGGTTGGACCTGACCTCTCGGTTAAGTTCCAAATATTGGGGCAGGAGGCAGCTAGCCTGAAGCTTTGCCCCTCCCTAAAAACCTTGGACAAATCATGGCTGGGCCTCAGTATTTTTGTCTGTTGGTTGAGACAGTGCCAGTACCTGCCTCACGGCTGTCCCTATAACCGTGATATGGACCAGTGCCCTTGCTTGGGTGCCGAGTACGTGCCAGGCACCTGGGTGCCTCGTAATTAGTTTTCAGCTCCTCCCAGAATGGACTTGTGCCCAACCATTTCAGCCAAGAAGAACCTGGCTAAGTCAAGTGAAGCAGGAGCTCCATGCGCCATTGTATAGCTCTGCCTAGGGTCAGGACTGCCCCCAGTCCCCAGAGCCAGGACCTCTGCTCTAGCGTCAGTGACCCTGCGCAGAGGCTGCTAGCAATTTGCTGTCTCGGCTAGCTGCTGACTCCTGACATCTCCCCAGGGACAGGGCTGCTGCCTCCAGCTGTTGGTCCTGCCCTCCCTGCATGCAGGCATTGAGAGCTAACGGCCAAACTGGGCCCCAGGGAACAGAGTGCCGGGCAGTTGTACAAAGCAGGCTGCATGGAGGCTGAAGCATTCTCTGGGGACTGTAGCAGGGAGAAAGAGAAGCCCATAAACTTCTTCTCAGCTATTATTCAGGGGAAAAAAACGGTGCTTGGAAGCAGAGAGTTGCTGCATAATCATAAAACTCCCCTCCCCAAAGAAAGCGCCTTCCCCCTGAGCTGGACCTCATGCCTGGCTCCAGAGCTGGTGCACAGCGCTCCCACTTTCCTGGGAATTGGTCCTGATCAGATGGTTTCCCAGATAAGGAAATAGAGGCTCAGAGAGTAGCAGTGACAGGTCTAGGGTCTCACAACCAGGAAGCCATGTAGGCTACTGTGCTCCAGCCCCACACTTAGCAGCAGAGGACACCTTGCTAGGACATCTAAATAAGTTGGTCCTTGGGCTCTTCATCCACAGGGGTGCCTGTGAGACAGCTTTTGAGGACCTAGTTGGGATTAGTGCTGAGCACGTGGGACAGGAAAAGCAAGTAGTAGAAGGCTTAGGATCCCACGCCAGCTACAGTTCCCATTGTGATCATTAGGGTTCCTCTGCCTTCTGGGTATCCTGGCTGTTCAATAAGGAAAACCTCCCCAGCATCCACACAAGTAGGAAAGAACTGTGGCAGCCATGGTCATGGACATCCTCAAACACAATGCTGACAGGGACAGGCTTATTATCCCTGCTCCGCTCACCTCAACCCCACCTGCCAGCTGGTCAGTGACCTGGGTACACGCCGCCAGGCCCCAGGTGGAACGCTGAGCCTGCTCTGCTCTGACTTTGCAGAGGGACAGCTGCCTGGGGCCCCAGACACTCTGGTACGTGGTAAGGGGTTGTTCTGCTGGGCAAGCTGTGCTGGGCAGGGCTTGGGCACCTGGATTCAGAAATTCTGCCCTCGTCCGTGGTTCCTCTGTACTCCCCAACCCCAGGGCCTCCATGGACGTGTATCGCATAGAAAGCTGAACCCTAAAGTGACAATCAGGTACTGGCAGCAGTGACTACAGTTTCTGTGGCTGTTGCTCTGAGTTCTGTTTGTTTAATCATCCCAGCAAGTACGTGAGGCCTGTGTCCTCATCGTACCCACACTATTTTTTGTTTTCAGTACTGGGAATTGAAACAGAGCCTTTGCACCGGCCTGCATCCCCAGCCTGTTTTATTTTATTTTAAGAAAGGACTTTGCTGCTAAGTTGCCCAGGCTGGACTCAAACTTGGAATCTTCCTGGCCTGGCCTCCTGGAGTGCCGGGATTACAGGCATGTACTACTACATCTGGCTTATGCCCCATTTTAAAGGTGAGAAACCTGGAAGACTTGGAATCTGCAATTTTCTGACTATGGGCAACTCTTCTGACTCTTAGACTCCCTGACCACCCGTGGGCTTGGAAGAGGCTCATTTCCATAAGAATAAGAGTCCATGTCTTAGAGCACTTGCAGTTGACCCTCAGGGAGGACAGCCAGGCAGAGGGCACCCAGGTAGAGGTCAGAGATAGTTTCATACCTTTGTAGGTAAGATCTCATTTAACCTTCAATGCTAGTTTTTGTTATTCCCACTCCCCAAACCATGAGGGTTGTGAGGAGAAATTGCCCAGGTTTGCAGCATTAGCAAGTGGCAGAGCCAGAAGTGATGAGTTAGTTGTCATTGCAACTCCATGCTGTGGGTGCAGCTTGTATTCCCATTTTTCAGATGACGAAAACTGAGGCTCTTAGAGCTCAGGCTAATAGCCCTTATACTGCTCCACCCCTATTATTATTTTTTACCCCTATTATTATTTAAGCCCTATTAGCACTGGAAGGCAGCCCAGAGGGCCTTGGTTGTATCATGTCTGGGCCTCAGCTTCCTCAGCTGCACAATGGGGCTCAGCAGAGCAGCTTCTCTAGCTGAACTGAAAGGGTACACACTGCTGCCCTTGGCCCCAGCTGTGTGAGTCTTTGAGCCCCAGACTGTCTCTAAATACCCACTTGGATATGTGGCCTTGTTTTGGGTCTCAGAAGGCAGCCTGCTTCTAATTGGGGGCTGCAGACAGCCCCAGCAGGCATTGCCCCAGAGCAATGTAGTGCCCGCAGGGGGCCAGACAGTCCCTGGGTAAACAGGGTTGATCTGAGGTGACAGCCTGCTCCTCTCAGCCTGCTCTGCTCCTCTCCTATTCCTTAATCGAGGCTGGGGCCCTGGGCCCAGACTTGGTACAAACACTGGAGGTTGGGGCTCTGGGAACCAGGTCAGGGTGCCTTGGGCTCAAGGAAGAAAGACAGGGACAGGACTCCAAGCCTCCCTTTTCCCTACCCTCTCCCAATGGCCACGTGTCCTCACGGAGCCTCTTCTCTCTGGACATCAGTTTCCCCATCCGTAAAAAAAAAAAAAGAGACTGGCCTGGTGGAGCCCATAGAGCCCATTCCAGCTCTGAGGTTTAAAGACCAAAAGACCAGGCTCTGAAGATTCCTCTCAGTCCTTTACTCAAACCTTGCTACATCCTGATCAAGAAAGCAATAAGTGATTTTCTGCTAGACTCCTGGGGCCTGTGAGTTCTAGAGGAAACCTTGCGATCACTGAATTCAACAGCATCATTTCGTGATGAGGAAATGGCACTCCGAGAGGTAAAGCCCATGCTGGCCGTCACACAGCTAGGCTAAGAAGCCGGTTCTGGCTCCCAGCTTTCCAACATCCAGGAAAGGTGAAAAGCAACTCCCCTGCAAACAGCTTTTCTATTTGGGGGCAGGTGTGGCTGCGGGGGTATTTTCTAGAGCCCTGGCTAGAGCCAGCGGAGGAGAAGCAATAGCTGCTATTGTCATCAGGATGACCAAGCAGACTAAGCCTAGAAGGGACCTCTAGTGGAAGGGACAAGAAACTGCAGGCATTTAGTGGTCGCACTGTGCCAGGCCACAAGCCTAGACATCTTCAGAGAGACCAACTCTGAAATCAAGACCTTCTAGTTCTGCAAAAAAAAATCACAGAAGCGGAGTAATCGTTTCAGAAACCACAAGCAGCACATAAACACTGGAAGCAACGAAAACTATAAGGTCGGTTGTCATTGCCGCCCTCACCTGTATTCCTGTGGAGTAGGATGGTGGTTTGACCCTGAGTTTCGGATGATTCCTGACATCATGGATGAGATGTCACTTTCTATCATCTCCTTGAGGAAAAGAGAAGCGGAAAACAAAGCTTTCATCAGCCACAGTGTGAACAGGACAGAAACCCACAGTTTTCCCACAGTTCAGAGAGATGGAGCTCAACTAACAGGAGAGAGTCCCAGGCACCACAAGTCACAATTCTAGGCAATTCTACAGGGTTTCAGAAGGGAATGCAAAGAATGAAATTCCAGGTTCTTTCCAGTTAATGGAGGGGAAGGGCAGAAGGAAGTCTCTAGAACCCAAATGTCAAGATCTAGAAAACACACTCTTGAAACATGGAAGCAGATGAATTTTATTCTTTTCCGAGTCATGTTTTCAACTTCAACCATAACCACTTTGAAAATCCTACATAATAAGAACGAAAAGGAAGGTGGGTGTGTCGTGTACGTTTCTCAGGGACACTCAAGTTCCCATTTGCAAAGGAAATAATCTCTCACAACTGTCCTCTGGAAATACCCTTAGAAATGTCATATGTCCTTGTTGTCAAGCTAGGCCACTCACCGCTACTACCACCCGTCCTAGACACACAGTCTCATAGCCTTATTTTAAAAAAATTAAAAATCTTCAAACTCCCTGAGTTTCTGAAACTCCAAGCCTGAAAAGAACACAGAAACCCACCAGCCTCTGGTCAGCTCCATCCCGAGTCATTGGGTAACTTCTGGGAAGGAGAAAGGAGACCAGAGGCAGACCCCTGCAGCCCTGGCCGGGGTCACTACCCTGGAAATGCGATCCAGGGCGCTGCCCGGGAGGAGAGCGCAAAGCCGAGCCTGCAAGGCGGTACCTGGAGCCGATCTCGCGGGGCCGCCTCGGCTGGCGCTCC